TCCACTCACCTCAGCCTCCCAAAGTGCGGGATTACAGGCTGAGCCACGGAGCCCGGCTCCTACTTGGATATCTTAAGAGGCATCTCAAACTTACCATGTCTAAAACCAAACTCCTGAAATTACAACCCCACACTGCTCCTTTTCGACTTCGCGGGACTTCCTCATCTTAGTTAATGGCAACTTTTAACCTTACAGTTGCTCAAAAATACATTGGCGTCATTTCTGATAACCCTCTCACACCCCACATCCAAATCTGTCCTCCTTCCAAAATATTGCCATAATCCAACTAATGCCTTTACCGTTACGACCCCAATTCAAACCAACATAAATTCTCACATAGATTCAGCAGCCTAACTAGTCTCTCTGCTTCCACCCTTGCCCCACATTAGTGTTTTCAAGAGACCAACCAGAGCTGTCCATTAAGTAAATCAGAACTTGTCTTCTGTCAACTCAAAATCCTCTAATGGTTTCCCATCTCACACATGGTAGAAACCAAAGTTCTTACAATCACCTAAGGCTTGGATGACTGGCCCATTCCCATCTTTGTGACCTCATCTCCTATTTCTGTTCCCCAAATACTCCATGCCAGCCACAGTAACTTCTTAGCCATTCCTCAGAAAGGCCAAGCACTCCTACTTTGTAGTCTTTGTATTTGCTATTACCCCCTCCCTGGAATACCCTAGAGATCCACAGTCCTTGTTTGACAAAATGTAATGTCTGCCGGGTGTGGTGGCTCACACCTATAATCCCAGCACTTTGGGAGGCCAAAGTGAGAGGATTGCCTGAGCCTGCAGGTTTGAAACAGCCTGGACAACTTGGCAAGACCTCATCTTTACAATAAATAAATAAATAGCTGGGCAAGGTGTTGTGTGCCTGTAGTTCCAGCTGCTTGGAAGGCTGAGGCGGAAGAATCACCTGAGCCCAGCAGGTCAAGGCTGTGGTGGCCGGGAGCGTGCCATTGCCCTCCAGCCTGGGTGACAAAGTGAGACTCCAACTCAAAAAAAAAAAAAATGTAATGTCACTCTGGGAGGCAGAGATGAGAGAACTGCCTGAACTCAGGGGTTTGAGACCAGCCTAAGCAACATGGCAAGACCTTGTCTCTACAATAAATTAAAAAAAAATCAGCCAGGTGGTGGCATGTACCTTTGGTTCCAGCTACTTGGAAGGCTGAGGGGGAAGGATCACCTGAGCCCAGCAAGCAGGTCTAGGCTGCAGTGACTATAAGTGTGACACTGCACTCCAACTTGAGTGACAGAGTGAGACTCCAATTCAAAAAAAAAAAAAAAAAAGTCACTTTCCCAGAGTCCCATCCTGACTACCCTATATAAATTCTTGCATTTTTCTCCATAGCACTTAAACATACTATACGTTTACTTATATGCTAGCCATCTCTACCATATAAGAACATAACCCAGTGGGGCTTGGTGGCTAAGCCTGTAATCCCACGCTTTGGGAGACTGAGGTAAGTGGATTGCCTGAGCCTGCGCGTCCAAGACCCGCCTGGGCAACTTGGCGAGACCTCATCTCTACAATAAATCAAAAAATCAGCCAGGTGTGGTAGCGCATGCCTGTAATTCTGGCTACTCGGAAGGCTGAGGTGGAAGGATCGCTGGAGCCCAGCAGGTCGAGGCTGCGGTGGCCAGAAGTGGTCACTGCACTCCAGTCTGGACGACAAAGTGAGACTCCAACTCAAAAAAAAAAAAAAAAAAAAAAAGAACCTAAACCCTTTGAGTGCAGGAATGTTCTGTTCACTGCTATATCTATACCCAATGCCTGAACAAAATCTAAACAGAAGTAGATGGTCAACCCAGGCACAGTGGCTCATGCCTGTAATCCCAGCACTTTGGAAGGTGGAGATGAGAGAGTTACCTGAGCTCAAGGGTTCGAGACTAGCCTGAGCAACATGGCAAGACCTCATTCCTACAATAACTCAAACAATCAGCCGGGCATGGTGACACATGCCTGTGGTTCCAGCTACTTGGAAAGTTGAGGTAGAAGGATCACCTGAGCCAAGCAGGTCGAGGCTGCGGTGGCTGTGAGCATGCCGCTGCACTCCAGCCTGGGTGAGAGTGAGACACTGACTCAACCACACACACACACAAAAGTAGATGGTCAAAGTGTTAAATGACTGAATAGAACTGTAAGGTACTCTATTATAAATGCAAGTCAAGTAAGCTAAATTAATGTACTTTCAGTCCAGAGAAAATGTTACCAAAAAAATTACGGAAGAAACAGAAGGCATCATGGTACATCCCAACCAGGAGCCTGCAGTGATAGCTGGGCAAGGGACAATTGCCCTAGAAGTGCTGAACCAGGTAAAACAGCCTAGTTCTTCCTGTTTAGCTATTGGTAAAGCTGTTTGGCTGTATTCGGTTATTTTATATGTACATATAAAACTACTTATAAATAGGCCTATCTATACTTTATATTCTTTTCACTAAAGGTTCCCTTGGTGGATGCACTGGTGGTACCTGTAGGGGGAGGAGGAATGGTTGCTGGAGTCGCAATTACAGTTAAGGTGAGAAAACAGCTTCTGGAGGACTCTCCACATCAAGCAGAGGATTTATTTTACATCATAGTACTTTGTGAATACTTGCTCAACATTCCCCCCAAATTGCCATTTCTTCCCCATATTCCTTGACACTTGAGATGGAAGGCCCTTCTCTGCCTCACTATTTTTTGTAATCCATGACAACTTTAAAGCACAAAAGCAGTTATGATGAGTGACATCCTCAGTGTTTTCCCTGAATTTCATTTTACCAAACTACTATCCACATCAAGGGCCACCCTAAAGAAGGGGGCGGGGGAGACACTTTTTACCCAAATTACTACTAGAACAGATGTGATCCAGGCAAGTGAAAGTCAGTATTAGACATACAATTTATTTATAAAGTGCATGAAGATCATATTTTCATTACATCCATCAAAGGAAACTCTCTTACTTGGTGGAGAAACATTACCTGTTCTGCCTATTTTACTCTGGACATGCAGGCAATGCTGCGGCTTATTGTAAAGTGTCTAATATTCCTCTTCCCAGGCTCTGAGACCTAGTGTGAAGGTATATGCTGCTGAACCCGTGAATGCAGATGACTGCTACCAGTCTAAATTGAAAGGAGAACTGACCCCCAATCCTTATCCTCCAGAAACCATAGCAGATGGTGTCAAATCCAGCATTGGTTTAAACACCTGGCCTATTATAAGGGACCTTGTGGATGATGTCTTCACTGTCACAGAGGATGAAATTAAGGTAAGGCTCCAACAGGAAAAGTAGTAACATAGGAATGGTACAACTTCTTAAACAAAAGAACATTTTCCTGTTATGAGTAGCAAGTGACCCACAGGAACTTGTGACTAGGTGACTTCATGATGACATATGAGAGGGTACCCTAGATGTATTATGACAACCCTTTTGAGTAGAAGCAGCCAGATGAAAGGAAAGACTTGGCAAGCACATGTACAGAGTAATAAGAAAACCCGAACTGGACATATTTCCTCATCTGGCCTTCATAATTTAACCAACCTGACTCCCCTATTCCATTTTGCTAATTCTTACTTCCTTCTGTACCAACAGTATGCAACCCAGCTGGTGTGGGAGAGAATGAAACTACTCATTGAACCTACAGCTGGTGTTGGAGTGGCTGCTGTGCTGTCTCAACATTTCCAAACAGTTTCCCCAGAAGTAAAGAATATCTGTATTGTGCTCAGTGGTGGAAATGTAGATTTAACCTCCTTAACTTGGGTGAATCAGGCTGAAAGGCCAGCTCCTTATCAATTTGTTTCTGTTTAATTTATGCAAAAGAAGATGGGATTCAGTGTCTAGATACCTGAACATTTTGTTTCTTGGTTAACTGTCAACATTCCATCTTCCCCTCTTAAAATTACCAAATTCTTCTTGGAGAGTGGATATTTCAATAAGATTTAATAGAGTTTTGGACGAAGGTTAGCATAAAAACTTTCATACTTAACAGAGACACCTTGTGCAAGGCCAAGAAGTCTTGCAAAATAGGGCAGCAGACTGACGTGCTAAGTAGAAAACAAACTGCCCAATCACAACCTGTAAGTACCCATGGCTAGAGTGCTAACTGGCAGCAGTAAAACAATCTCTCTGAATTCATTACTCCATGCTCACTTGAGACACTGTTGAAGAGACCTCATTTTTCACCCAGGGTACTGGTTCTGGTACATATGGATCATAAGTCCATTTGGGGAAAACTCGTTTATAGAGATTCATCAGTACTGTGTCCTGAGATTTCAACTTCCCATCAAAGCTGCACTTCATGTGGCCATGGGTACCTAGAAAGAAAACAAGAGCAAGCTGGTCAAATTAAAAGTAGAAAATTTTAAAGCAGTGACTTCCAACCTAATAATCCTTTAGTAATACTGGAGACAAGGTCCCAAATCCCACACATTCTTTTACCTAAAGGCTCCTTGATGTGTCCTCTGCGGCCCCACTTTGTTCTTAGTTCCACCGGTTTAAACCACAGCACATCCTCTTAGAATGGAACATAGAAAACCAACATGAAACATTTACCCACAAAAATGTAAACCCAACCTTCACACCACAAAGACAATTAGATCCCACCCTTCTCCTTCATACCTACCTCTGTTGAAGAACATATATCGTACTACTGCCATCTTAGTAAAAATTTTGAAAGGATGACCACTCAGAACAACTCTCTTGATGACCATTCTGTCTGGATCCACTGACAAAAGACAGCCTGTAGCAATGAGGTTGTGCATTCCTGAGGGGTAAAGGCAAAGAAGCTGTTCAGGAGACTATAGGCCAAAGCCTTCATTTATTACTCCAGTCCATTTAAAGACCTAGGCTATGCCCTCCTGGGTCCATGGCAAAGACCACTAAATGATATTCCTGCTAAGCCTGTCCCTAGAACCTATCCTAAACATAGCACTCTGAGTAGCCTCTACTAAGGTTTACAAGCAAGATAAAACCTGGTTTGACATCCCTGTCTTACACCCACTATGACACTGAGATTGGTAAACTCTTAAGTCCTCACTTAATTTCATCAACAGGTTCTTTTAAAACTTTCAGTTTAAAAAAAAGCAACATAAAGCCGGGCTCGGTGGCTCAGCCTGTAATCCCAGCACTTTGGGAGGCTGAGGTGAGT